GTATACTGCACACAGATCAGTGGCCTGAAAGTGCTGAATGGTAAAGCTCCTATAGATGTTCAAGCTTATTAAATGTCCAATATGTACCATGGGAGAGTCAGTCCCCTGTCCAGAATCCTCCTCCTCTGGACTTCAGTCAGTACGTGTTTAATCACCATGTCGCTGTCAATAACAGTTAGGATTATAGTCATGGCATCTGCTTTTCCACAGTCTTAATACTGTGGGAAATGAACATTGTACATTTAGTAATCAATGTATTGATTTGGTAGTGCCAATGGAATTTCTGTGGTTGTGAGGAAATCAGGGGAGAATCTGCTGACAGTTTTACATTGTAAGATTAAAGGATTGTACTGAGGAAGGCCTAAGGCATTGACATGAGATTAACACTTAAATTGTCAGGAGGTCACCAATTGTTTGTCTGTATACTTGAGCATTCTGAACATCTGGGAGATAACAACCGTGCTGAGGTTTTCTCTACGTGATGCATGAAACAAAGAGACTCAATCCATTGCACAGGGTCTGTAATTTCTTCAGAGAATTAGCAACTCTCAATCTTTTGGAGGAATTTCTCTTACAATACATGTCTGGAGGGTGTTTAATACCTATAAAAGTTATTTTAAAAGAGCGAGTCTCTCTTTTGTGCAGTACTTCATTGTATTAGCAGTTACAGGAGAAAATTCCAGTCGGAGGAGCAGGTGAGTTAAGCCAAAGATGTAGCTTTTATTGGTAACAAGGGGCACTTCTTATCAATAACATGTAATACACTAATAATTATACAAGTGGTTAATGACAGCAATGCTAGTAGTATTTTTACATGCACATATTGTTGTAGACGGCTGCAAGTAACCATGGCACATTCAGGCTATTTAACAATATTTACTAAGATTGGTAGCAGTTCTTCCAATAGGTTAGTCATCTGGATGCACATATTGTACTCCAGTTATGACTGTCATTACTTTTGGATTTATCATTTTAACACACGTCCCTGTTCAGTCAAGTTCTTAATAATGAATTGGTTTCCTCAGAACTTGGAACTCTCGTTGTCTGAAGACTTCTCTCAGGCAAAGTGCTTTCAAAGTTTTCTGAGGAGCTTTGTTTTCCCTCAACCTCCTGCCATTCGGAGAAGTGAAAGGTATATTAACAGTGTGCTTAAAACACTCTTGACCCCTGATGTCCCCACTGAAGTGGCTCCGCACGGACCTCTAATTGCTTCTCACCAACAATGACAGCGCCCTCGGCTGAGCAGGCTTGTTTATTTTGGTAAAATGGAAGTTATTTCCATGCTCTTTGACTCTGCAGCCTGCACTCGGCTTAGTCTGGAATCAAGCTCTTAGTCCTGCAGTGCTTGTGTTCTGTGGTTTTAACTGGAGTAATATGACAACATACCTAATAAGTATTTGTTTTGCAGTTACCTTGACAGCATTGTGTAACACAGTCCTAATGATATGGACATTTGCATCTATGTGTGTGTCCCCCTCCTTGTCTGTTTGGATTTCGGTTTGTAGGTGTGCACATGCATATTTGTGCCCTTAACATGCATTCAGGCATGTCTGCATGAGCGCTATGACTGTGATTGCTTTTTTTTAGTTTGTGTTTCTTCGAATGAAGAAGAGCATTTGAAGAGGAGCCATCCAGCTTTAGAAGCCAAATGTCAGAGGTCGTTCCACTTTAGTGCCGCCGATCAATCGCAGGCCTTGCGTAACTTTCCTGCTTCTTTGTCTCTAAAGGAAGTGGATTAGAGGCTGTTTTCTGAGTTGGGACCTGGGATGATTAGTTAGGCCTGTTTAGAATGCGTGCACTCACAGATGCATACAAACATGCACTCAAAACAGACAGCCTGGATGGGAGAATAGATGGCTTGTTTTTAAGATGCTCGTTATTTCAGTTTCCGCCAAATCAACGCAAAAGAGATGATGCAATGTTCTTTGATGCTGGCAACTTTCTTTCCTGCCTGCAGGTAGGAGGTGATGGAAAATCCCCAAAATAATCAGTAACTTTGACTATTTTATCAACAAGCCACCAAGAAAGTAAGACCTCCTGGGGACATTTGGTGATCTGCCAAATTTGCTGTTTTAAGCAGAATTTGGCTGGTGGCTAGAGCAAGTCATGTTTATTTATGTAGTTCAATATCACATACAGAGCGTCGATGGACATTGGAGGTGTACAACAGCAGTTTTTCCAGACAGAATAAGATGAGGAAAAAGAATAGAAAAACGCATGAGCATAAGTACACGAGGAAACAAGGCTAAGAGTCAGCAGCCATGCTAGTGAGCCTGTACTTGTGCTTTGGACTGAATGCATTCATCAGCATGCTAAAAAGGTCTTTAGCAGGTCTAATGTTTGCCATGTTCACCATCTTAGTTTAGCGTGTAAACACTTGCCAATTAGCACTAAACACGAAGTTTGAATTAAAATTTTGACCTGATGATGTTGCTAGAGGGAAAGTTAAGGGATCACCATTATTATAGGTCATGCAGTGGGGAACATGAACGTCTGTACCAGATTTCATGGCAATTCATCAAGTAGCTGTTGAAATATGCCACTCAAAACCACAAACGTCAGCCCAGTGGTTGCATTGGAGGAGAGGTCAGGGGATCACCAAATTTATTAGGCTTTACCCCGTCTGGGAACCATGACTGTCTGTACAAAACAGCAATGGGATCATTAAGCAGAAGTTCGATTACAATAATAGGATGCTAATTAAAAAGCGACATTAAACACTGACGTTGGATGTTAGGCTTGTAAAGCATATTTCCTAGTGTTTGGTCATGAAATGGCTGATACTTACTTACTTCATTTATTTAATAATGAATATATTGTATTATTATAACACAAGCTTTATGTTGTTTTAGGGACGTTATGATCTTTGCCCCCTCATGGTCAGAGATACCAGATATAATTGGTAGTTTCCATCAACTGAACATACACATTTGTGTGCATGTACACTCACAATGGGAGAAGTTGGAAATTATTAGTAATTTGATATATATCCAAGCATACATCTCTTTACAATGAGAGCCTGAGAGAGAGCGTCTTTTTCCTCCAGCGCCATCGAAGGGCCTCACCCTCGGCTGGAGTCCTGACAGCTCGCAATATATGAACCGAGCGAAGTGCCCGCCGATCAGACAGCATGATTGCTCCATACATCACAGGCCTTTATACTGCCTAAATGGAACCAGCACACTGGACACACACACCCACACGCGCGCACACACACACACACAAAGATTCATATCTTTGTGATCTTCACACTGAGGCTAAATACAGAAGATTATGGCAGAAGCTGTATTTCCAGCTCCTTTTATACGTGTTCAAACTTCTGGAATACGATTCTTGGTACTGAACTGTTATATTCTTACCCCTAAAACGTCCCCCTCCTCTGTTTTTTCACCCCTCTTTCTTTCTTTCTCTCTCCGTATTGTTGAAGTCTGGAGAATTTATTAGAGATTAACTTGTCAGAGGAGGCTTTTTCCACGGCTCACTTTACTACATTCATCATTTATACACATAACAGATAGCATTCCACAATTTATCACTGTGGACCCATCTCCTCGTCAGCAGGTGTGTGCGCACACGCACAGCGGTATGTATGTGTGCGTCTACTCATGTACTGTACGTAACATCACATTGTTTGTGCATATCTCTGCGTGCACGTGTTCGTACCTCCTGTGTGTTCGCGTATGTTATAATGGGTCTGCGTCTTAACGGGCAGACGTCCATGTGTCTGGCCGGCTGGAGCAGACGCACTTTTTCACATATGATCATAACTCATCCAGAGAGACGTACACACCTCGCTCTGGAAGCTTTCAGTCACAGATCATATACAGCCGCTCCGCGTGCGTGTATGTTCACTCAAGTTCAGCATGTATAGCCAGCAAATTGTAGGAAAGATGAAACTTTGATCCAGTGAAGAAAAGACACGCACACTTTTGTGTTGTGACACACGTTTTCTGTTGATTAAAGGATTGTAATAACTTCAAACTCCTCAGCCAACAAAAATATACAGAGACAAACCAACGCCCACATTGTATATAAATTCAGTAGATACTGACATCAACTTTTTTTCCGACACATCTTTCTATAATATTAGCTGTTACGGAAATCAAACACTGAACTACAAAAGTAACAGAAATGGACTTGTGCGTCATGATTATGGTATTCAGTTTGGCTTTAACAAATTCCACTCATCATGGCTCAGAAACCAAGAATTATCCTTTTTTTATTAGATCTGACTTATGTGAGTTTTGAGTACACACCATTTGTACTGATGTAGCTAGAAGCCTGTTATGTTCACAGCTATATTTCATACCTGCTAGCTTACTTTCTTTGTTTGATAACTGAAGTGTAAAACCACTTTCAATCAGTCATGTTCTCTCTCGTTCCTTCTGTTCTTTGTCTCTCTGCATCAGTCAGATATTTCTCTCTTTTTTTTTTTTCTTTTCTCCAAGTTATTTGTGCCATTTATGAAGGTGGCTGCAGCTGCCCTGGGCATAAGTAGGCCAGGCAAACACAGGCGCACGTACACAGACATACACATGCAAATACACACATGTGCTCCGAGTGAGAACCAGTGAGAAGTAGGGCAGACAAGCAGGCAGTATTACCAAAAGCCCTTGGATCTCAGGAGCAGGCTGTCCCAGAAGAGCATCATGTCATAACAGTCCTGATTGCACAGCATTTAGGAATGCCTGCAGAGTTAACCTCTCAATGATGAGGGGTCGCCAGTGATGTCATCACCACCCCCTCGGATGCCCCCCTTCACTTGCACATACACATCCTTACATTCATTCCCCTCCGTTGCCATCTCTGTATGGTGTGGGGTAATCGTCCACAAATGCTCTGTGGTGGCAATTAGACATGCAAGATTTACTCTCAAGCCAACCACTTCCCACTGAAAACTTGAGATGTTTCAGTGGGCTTGTCTTTTGTGCTTTGACTGATCTTTTCCTGTATTTCCTTTTGGGGTAACTTAGTTTGCCTACCTTTGCCCTCTCTTCCAGGTGCAGTACAGTGATGCGCAGAGTGGTAAGGATTTTGTGACCTATCTGACCCTCTCCCCTGTGCAAATGACTTTCCACGGCACCGGGAGCACCCTCCAAGCCAGCCATGACCAGGTGTGTGTGTGTGTGTGTG